CCGACTCTCTCCGAGACTCCCCAGCTCCCTGGCTGGTACCAAAGACCCTTCCACCCCAGGGACTGGCTTTTGTTCCTTGGGAGTAGATGGGGTGGGTGTGGCTGTCCGCGCACTGGTACTGTCCAGTGGTCAGAAAGTGGGTGGGGTACGGGGGGCGGGGCTGCGGCAGAACAAAGGGCTCACAAATATGTGGGATACCTCTCACAACTGAGTATTTAAAAATCACACCCCAGGCACTCCTCCTGTCTGGATTTGGTTCATCTATTGTCCACTAAGGAGATGGGTTTCAAGGGTGATCATCGCCCGCTCCACCGCTAACACTCTTATCTTTCATCAGGTGCTGGACCCTGCTGCCTGCCTGCCACGAGGTCCCCAACCTCGGTGCTACTGCTTGGGGGTGAGGGACACGCCTAAAAACTGCGGCACAGCGAGGGAGAGGCCACCCGAGACCCTGACGCGTACAGAGCGCGTGCGCAGACTCTGAGCACTGACACTTTAAAATCCACAGTTTGTAGGTAGTCGAAGGAGATTATCTCTTTGTTACTTTTCGTGTGTACGTGTGTATTGGGGGCGGGGTGCGGAATCTGCTTGTGTTTAAGGGTGAGAGTTGAAAGCGTGCATGAAATGTTTACTACGGACCTGGAACCTGATCCTTGCAATATCATGGGTGCAGGACCCTTCCCCTTGTCGACTCAGGACCGGTCGCCTGCAAGGTGACGTGACCCTTTTTCATCCTCTGGCGAGAAGGGCCGAATGACCCGGGTTCCCGTGGGGGAGCGGAGCCTGCAGCTGTTGAGTGAGACCCTCCCAGAACTATCAGCAAGCTGTCACCGCCTTTCTTTCCCGCTGGGAGGTGGAAGGGGGGCTTTCAACTCAATTCCAGTGCACAAAGAGAAACCGAGAGAACAAAAGCCCAGCCTCCCCCAGACACCCATGGCGCCCAGACTGAACCTTCAGAATTCCCCAGACGCGGCTTCCCTTCTTGGGGTTAGGAGGGGGTCGGGAGAGAGGCAGAGGAGCCGAAGGTCCGCCCACATGCCGCACTTGCGGGGTTCCAAAGACCCAGGACCCCGAGTTTCTAATCCAGCTCCTACAGATGCAGAAACGTCCAGGGTGAACGATTCCCGAGGTCACACAGCAAGTTAAAAACAGGGCTCGGTCTGCAATCCCGTCTTCCGGGCCCCTAGGCCTCGGGGAAGGGGGCCACGTTGGGGCCGCAAGAGCTGTGGTTGGTGTCAGCACCCGGACCTGGAGGGCGGCTGCGATGGGACCGAGGCGTGCGGGAAGGAACCCAGCGAGGGTGGCACCCGCGCCCAGTGTAGACGCTCACTGAGCGGTTAGCTCCTGGCTACCAGGGCCGAGGGGTAACCCTGGCGCGCGGGGCTCCAGGGGATCGGCTCCATGCCGGGAAATTTGAGCCGGCCTCCAGCCTCCCTCACCTAACGGTTTATTTTCTCAGCTTCGGTTTCAGAGCCAGATTTCCGCGGAGTGTCGGGTGAAAGCGTGAGCTCAAGATTATGTGGATAAAAGGACCCTTTCCTCTCGGGTTTACTTCGGGGGGGAAAAGGCTTGGGATAGAGTGAGGCTGGAACTCGAAGCCCTTCCTTTCACACGTTTGCGGGTACTGTCGCCCACCCCCAGCCGCTGCGAAGCTGGCATTCTTGTTCTCGGTTTTACATCTCCCCCTGCCTCCCCCCCACACCCCGCCCTTTTTGGATTTATGCTGCTGCACATTTTTATTTTCACAAGAAGCTGATTTTACGTTGGTGACAGCCAAACCTTTCAGTTTATCTGCTGATCCTTATTATTCTTATTCCGTATAGTTCCTGAGGAGAGGCTGGTGATGGAAAGAGATCCGGCCGCATTTGCGTCTTCCAGCATTTCTTTTTGTGAATTACACAGAATTCCTCTCCATCTAGGTCATTGTATATCAGGCGTTAAAGGTGTCAGAACTGTGTATTTCACCATCACTTACAGGCTAAGTAGCTTTAATGATATGCTAATATTTCTCAATTTTCCCTTCACCAGAAGTTGTAGACATAACTTGGTGTAAAATAAAATTCAACATTTATTTTATGCATAACTGATTGTATGGCTGAGGTAGGATACCCCCTAAGCAATTAAAATTATATTTGCCCTCACAACATTGAGAGTATTTAAATGGCAAATTCTCAAGTGATTTTGCATTTATCTATTAGTACACGTAGAGTCACTGTTTTAATTAATTGAAGTCTGGTAGGGAGTACTGTACAGCTGAATTGGTAGTGAATTTTTAAAGCATTGTTTCCTTAAAGCAAGATTTGTTTTGTTTTACACGCTTATTGAAATCACAAGACCTCTAGCTTTCGCATTTCCTTACTGCCTGTCTGCATTCACCACTTAATACACAGCTCCAAGTCCGGTTAGCCTAACAGCCTACTCCGCAGCGAGAGGCACGCGGTTTCCTAGGCAACCGACACTTGGCCAATGAATGAAGAGAGATTGAAAGAGACCGCAAATCCATCATTATTTCCTTTTTCTTTTCTTTTCTTTCTTTTTTTAACTCTTCCCAATACTCTCCAGCTAGAGGTATTGGAAAGCTACCAATCCTAACTTTTATGTAAAGAAGTCAAATGCCCAGGGGAAGGGGTCGCAGCCCTATGTTGTGACTGTGGGGAGAAGGTGGTGCGGGGGCTTCCTAGGCTCCACTGAGACCTGCGCTTTCTCGGCTTTGTCATTCTCTCTGTTCATATCCCACTGTCCTCCCCCCACTCCCAGGCCTTCCCCTCCCCTGAGGAAAAGCCAGCAGTTCCCGGCAGAGTCGGCCCCGTGCTATTTGGTCCAAGGGTTGCGGGGCTGTGAGTCTCAGAGCCCTTGACCTTCCGCAGTCGTGGGGCTCTGTGGGGACCAGCCGGCCCAGGTAACAAAAGAGTGGAATGAGCAGAGAAAATTGCGAGCCCGTGAATGCAGGGCAGTGCGGAAATATTTACTTTTGTTCCTTGGTAAAGCTGGCTGCTTTCCCGTTGCCTGCGTTCGAATTTGGGTTAAAATGGCCTCAGTGCAGGCTGAGAGTGCTGAGCTTTCACGGAAGAGATTTGCCTTCTTTGTCATACAAATGCGCAGAGGGAGTAGAACCCGGCTTTCCAAGGCGCCGGCGCCCTTTTATAAGCAGCCCCTCCTCCCCCAGTGTATCAATGATCTGTAAGACTCTTAGGCTGGGGGAGGGCAAGCCAGAGAATGCTCGCTCTGTGAATCCTAGGTAAATGGCATCTCAGATACAGAGCCAGACTGTGCAAAAGCAGAAACACAGGAGTAGAGAGTACTCTTAAATGGGAACATTATAAAATACTAAGCTTGACAGGGTGCAGCTTGCAAGGTGCAGTCCGTGCAGTAGACAAATTTATAAATAAATCCCTAATGAAATGAATTGCACACAAGAAGATACATTCGGGAGCCATTTTAAGTGGCAGTGGCAGACTGCTGTGGATTCATGCGATGGCAGTTCTGTCACCACACCTTAGAAACTTCCACCAGCAGCTGCTGCTCACAGACAGCTAGGCAGCTCACAGTTTCTCTTCTACATGGGCCCCTAGACCTTTGCTTGCCATTTAAATAAAATTAAAACACTCATATTCAGATAGATATAGATACATATGGTAACCCCCTTGCCTCTTGGATTTGGATGCCTGGTGGACTTTAGCTATGTCTTCACAGAAGAAAGAAATAGGTCAGCTTCTGAACAGGAACTCTTCTCTTGACATGCCCAGCCTACTTTGGAGTGCCAGCGCATATCCTCCTTACGTTTTCAAGAAAATAATGCATTAAGGGAACCTACCTCTTTCAAAATAACCCAGAGGAGGGGTGCCTGAGTGGCTCAGTCCATTAAGTGTCTGACTTGGGCTCATGATCTCACAACTCATGAGTTCTCATGAGTTCAAGCATGAGTTTGAGCATGAGTTCGAGTGTGAGTTCAAGCCCAGCATCAGGCTCTGTGCTAACAGCTCAGAACCTGGAGCCTGCTTCAGATTCTGTCTCCCTCTCTCTCTCCACCCCTCCCCCACTCCAGGCTCTGTCTCTCTCTCACTGTCTCAAAAATAAATAAGCATTAAAAAGTTTTTTAAAAACCCAAAATAACCCAGAGGAAAAACATTGTAACTTATTAAAAGATAAAGTTTTTCATACACACCCCAAAGAATTGAAAGTAGAGTTTTGAAGAGGTATTTGTAGGGGCGCCTGGGTGGCTCAGTTGGTTAAGCCTCTGACTTCAGTTCCGGTCATAGTCTCACAG